AATCTTGAATAAATAATAAGTTAGATAAGCAGAATTCCTCTTATAGTTTGATTTCAGAATTATGCATTGCAAAAGCTTAGAAAATGAACAAGCAAATGCTCTTAGCAGGAGATTAGACTATTGAAATGCAGATTCCTTAGATATATAGAACATCTTTGCTCAAGATGAATTAGGGAATCTTATTAATGCATACAGAGAGCTGAATGCTGCTTTCAGAATTAAATTCTCAGAAAAGAATTCAGAATCAATAACTTCAGATGAATAAAACAACTACATTAAGAATGTATACAGTGTATCAGTATATAGATATTAGGAAGTTAGAGCAATTTATAAATGCATTAGAAGATACTAAAATCTATTAAGCTTTAGAAAAAGAATTGAAAATATCTTATAATAATGCAATAGCTGCAAGAAGAATAAAGCAGAAAGATATAAGCTTTATAAACTACTGCATTTCTTATTAATATTTATGATTATTTAGTAATTTATTAGTTTAAACTTTATTATTAAGCTATTGTTGTGGTGGCTAGGGTGGTAGTTCGTGGGATGTGGAGTACAGTGGATTAAGGGTTTTCATACATATAAAGGATATCATCCACTTTTCAAATTCTTTAGCTATAAGCAACAATAAAGCATCCTTTCTCTTCTTTTCAATTTTGAACCCTTTGGACAGGTCTAAGACAGGTTTTTCACCCTGTTCTTGTGCCCGTGTGGCCTTAGTTTGCTGTCCTCATCTGTACAGGCACGCTTGGGTTGCACAAGCCCTTGCTCATTGCTTCGGCAGCTGTTTGTTCCTTTTTCTTTCGAGAGCAACGGCGCTCTAGTTCTGGTTCACTATCTTTCTTATAAGAACTCTTAACTAAAGTATAATATAATAGCATTCTAATAATAGTTTGCAGATTAAGCAAGTATGCTTACTTTCTTCTCTATAAGAAAAGCAGTATAGCAGAAGAACTCGCATATACATTTCTTAGAACGATTATTGCTAATTACAGCATGCTAGAAGAAGTAATTTCTAATAGAAATAGAAAATTCAATTCAAAGTTTTAAACTTTGCTTATAAAATAGCTCAGAATATACTACAGAATATTCATAGCATTTCATCTGCAAATAGATAAATAAATAAAAAGAATAAATCAGATTATTAAATAATATCTTTAATATTATATTAATTAAGAATAAAATAATTGAATTAATCTATTGCTTCTTATATAGTTTGCTTATAATAGTGCAGATATAAGCATAACAAAGAAATTATTATTCTTCATACTTTATAAATATAATCTAACAGCTTATTACAAAGCATTGCTAAAAATAGATGCAGAAGCTATAGATAAAAGAATTAAAAAGATTAAGAAGATTTAGAAGGAACTTCAGTTAGAATTACAATTTATTCAGAAATAAATAATGCAATATGCAAACTCCAAAAGGATTAAGAAATTAATCTTACAAAAAGAAGATAAGATCTATCTATTTCGAAAAAATATTAAAATAATTAGATCTAGCAACAAACTTGATTACAAGAAATTAGAATTATTCAAAATCTTGCAATAGATTTTCTTAATTAATTATAAGTTAGTATTATCTCATAGAATAAGAATATACTCGATTTTTCATACTTTATTACTGAAATCAGCAGCACAGAAAATATTAGCGAATAATATAGCAGAAGTAAAAAACAATGAACTAAAGTATAAGATAGAAAAGATTCTCAAGCATAGAAGCATAAACAGCATAAGAGAATATCTTATTAAATAGAAAGATTACTTAGCAAGCGAAAATTCGTAGAAACTACAGAAAAATGTTAAAAACGCTCAGAAGAAAGTAGCTGAATATTGGAAAAGAAAAGAAACCAGCATCTAGAACGATTACTCCGCCCCAAACCAAGACTCAGAGATTTCAGAAATCTCACTCTCCAGGAAACTCAACTAATTTACCACTGAATTCCCTATATCTACAGAATTTCAATCAAATCCCTCAAAGAAAGAATCTCCAGCAGCTACAGCTAACTTCTCAAACACAGCTTCCTATACAGCGGTAGCAGTATAGCAACATTCCTCTTCAGCTTCCTCAGCCTCAATGCAATCCAGCTTCTTCACATTGTTGATACCGCAACGAATAGCGCATATCATCTTTTCAAATTATATCCTTTTCTGCTTGCGCAGCCGAAGAATCTTCTCCTCAGCAGCTTGCAACTCATCCTCCAGCTCTTGGTGCTAAGTAGCAATCTTACGCAGCTCCGAAGAACTAACGCTCTGTACATTGCATCGGGAATGATTAAATCGAACGCATTCAGCGCAACGAGAAGAATCAAGAGAAGAAATCTAACAGGAAAGAATACTCCGATTCTTACAAAACGAACAGAAAAGCATGATAAAGAAATTTTGAAGAATAGCAGAAAGAAAACTTTCACATTCCTCGGTTTTTCGAGAATGAGACTTGAAAATACAAGATTTATTAATTCTATTCAACATCTTAATTAGAAAGGCAAGATCATGCATACGGAAAACTTGCTGGAATACTTACAAAAGATTATTAAGAATAACAACTGATAGAAGGAAGATGATATTATAACTCATTCAACATGCAGATTACAAACAGGTTACGAGTAATAAGGATCAGATATTAAGAATTCAATGAATCAGAACTAGGGCGCTGTCGCCCTCGAAAGAAAAAGGAGACAAACAGCTGCTGAAGCAATGAGCAAGGGCTTGCGCAACCCAAGCGTGCCTGTACAGATGAGGACAGCAAACTAAGGCCACACGGGCACAAGAACAGAGTGAAAAACCTGTCTTAGACCTGTTCAAAGGGTTCAAAATTGAAAAGAAGAGAAAGGGATGCTTCCTTGTTTTCTATAGCTAAAGAATTTGAAAAGTGAGTGGTATCCTTTATATGTATAAGAACCCTTAACCCACTGTACTCCATGTCTCACGAACTACCACCCTGGCCACCACAACACCAACATTCTGACTAAATATTAATTACATAATCTAGAGTTAGAAATATAACAGGAATGAATCACTGGATTATTAGGTGATTCAGTAAGCCCGGATCACCTGAATCAGTAGTAAGCCAAGGTAAGCTATACTGAAGAGCCGAATATATAACTACACGCTCATTACCATTAGATAGATTCAGTATATAGCTCTTCAGTTATCAATCTAAGTATCAGATTACTCTCTTACTCTGATAGCCCCAAAGGCAGTGAATACTTGCACGATTACTCAGTTGTATTTCCGTATTCAAAGCCTGTACTTAGCACCGCTCTTGTTAGCATAAACTCTTTGTGTACTTTGGAATCTTCGGATTACTGCAGTGCTCATTACACTGCTGCTGGTTGCGCAGTTCCTGGATACGCTGGGTAAGCTGGTACATCTGATTAATCAGTTCTTTCTGAGTAGGAGCGCAGAAGAACAAAGAGATTTCTTAAGAAGCTATTGTATTCCGTATTATTCAAGAGGATAATACTGAACCGTTCCTGAATAAGAGTTATCAAAATGTAATAAGCGTACTGCAATATCCGAAAATCTGAAGTATACAAAGAGTTTATGCTAGCAAGAGCGGTATTAAAGTAGAATCCACTGAATACGGAACTGTAACTGAGTAATCCGTACAAGTGCTATTCATTCGCCTTTGAAGCTATTCAAGTATGTAACAAATGAATACTTAGATTAACAACTGAAGAGCTATATTCTGATGGTTTATTTAGTAGTAATGAATGTATTCTTATGTAATGAGCACTGCAGCAATCCGAAGATTCCAAAGTATACAAAGGAGTTTATGCTAACAAGAGCGGTGCTAAGTATAGGCCTTGAATACGAAAACACAACTGTAGTAACTGTGCAAGTGTTCACTGCCTTTGAAGCTATCAGAGTAAGAGAGTAATCTGACACTTAGACTGATACTTAGATTGACAACTGAAGAGCTATGTACTGAATCTATCTAATGGTAATAAACGCGTGATTATATATTCAGCTCTTCAGTATGAATATATTAAATAGCAACATATCCAAGTTATTCTGCTAGCTCTGAATAGCACATATTCAAAGCTATCCTTCCTAATTAGCCATGCCTATAACCCTAACCCTGGATTATGTAATCAATGCTTTGTTAGAACGTTAGATTTTTAATATCTGATTCTTGTTACTCGTAATCTGTTTCGTAATCTGCATATTGAATAAGTTATAACATTATCTCTCTTCTATCAGTCGTTATTCTCAACGATCTTCTATAAGTATTCTAGCAAGTTTTCCGTATGCATAATCTTGCCTTTCTAATCGAGATGTTGAACAGAATCAATACATCTCGTTCTCATGCTGAGAAGACTAAATAAAAGGATTCCCTCCTTTTCTTAATCCTTATATAGCTGTTATCATGCCTTTCTGTTCTTTCTACAAGGGCTGTGGTATTCAGTTTTGTTAAGTCTCTGTTGAGAACTCCTCCCATTGCGCTGAATGTATTCGCCTGAGCTGCTCCCAGTGCGATGTTCAAGGATTGAGCGCAGCGGAAATTCGTTGAATAAGCATTCAATACCAATGCTTGGAGAACTAACTCGAGAGTGCTGAGAAGCGGCTGCATGATGCTGCTGCGGAGGTGGAACGTTTGCGGAAGCAGAAACGTCTGTAGTTCGAGAGGATAATGAAGGCCGTTCATCGAGGCCTTTTCAGTATGAAGGAGTTAGAGCGTGAGGAAGCTGAGGAGGAGCGAGCTCGTATTGCCGCTGGGATTCGTTCTGTAGTTGCAGAGAAGTCTGCTGCTATTGCTGAAGATTCTTCTTTTGAGGGTTTCGATTGGAATTCCGTGGATGTAGGGAATTTAGTAGTAGATTAGTTGGATTTTCTGAAGAGTGAGATTTCTGAAGCCTCTGGGTTTCGGTTTGGAGCGGAGCAATCATCCTAGATGCTGGTTTCTTTCCTTTTCCAATACTCAGCTACTTTCTTCTAAGTATTTTTGATATTTTTCTGTAGTTTCTACAAATTTTCGCTTGCTGAGTAATCTTTTCACTTGATAAGATATTCCCTCATACTATTTATGCTTCTATACTTAAGAATCTTTTCTATTTTATATTCTGATTCATTATTCTCTACTTCTGCTATATTATCCGCTAATATTTTCTGTACTGCTAGTTTCAGCAGTAAGATGTGGAAAACTGAATATATTCTTATTTTATAAGATAATGCTAACTTATAATTAATTGAAAAAATCTATTGCAAGATTTTGAATAGTTCTAACTTCTTATAATCAAGCTTGCTGCTGAATCTAGTTGTTTTAATGTTTTTCCGAAGTAAATAGATCTTATCTTCCTTCTATAAGATTAGTTTCTTAATTCTTTTGAAGTTTGTATATTATATCATTTGTTTCTAAATAAATTGTAATTCTAACTGAAATTCTTCCTGAATCTTCTTAATCTTCTTAATCCTTTTATCTGCAGCTTCTGTATCTGCTTCTAGCAGTATTTCATAATAAGCTATTGGATTATATCTGTAGAATATAAAGAATAGTGATTTTTTCGTTATGCTTGTATCTGCGCTATTATAAGCGAACTGTGCAAGAAGCAATAGATTAATTCAGTTATTCTGTTTCTGATTAATATAGTATTGAAAATACTATTCAATAATCTAATTCATTCTTTCTATCTGTTTATTTATTTGCAGATGAAATGCTATAAATATTTTGTAGTATATTCCAAGCTGTTTTATAAGTAAAGTTCAAAACTTTGAATTGAATTTTCTGTTTCTGTTGAAGATTACTTCTTCTAGCATGCTATAATTAGCGATAATCATTCTGAGAAATGCATATACAAATTTCTCTGCTATACTGCTTTTCTTATAAGAAAGAAAGTAAGCATACTTGCTTAGTTTACAAATCATTACTAAAATGCTATTATATTATACTTTAGTTAAGAGTTCTTATAAGAAAAGTAGCTTGATAATAAAGTCTAAACTAATGAATTGCTAAATAGTTATAAATACTAATAAGGAATATAGTAATTTATAAAGCTTATATTTTTTTATCTTATTCTTCTTGCAGCTATTACATTATTATAGAATGTTCTGAATTCTTTTTCTAAGATCTGATAAACTTTAGTATTTTTTAATGCATTTATAAATTACTCTAACTTTCTAATATCTGTATACTGGTGCACTGTATACTTCTTTGATGTAGTTATTTTATTCGTTTGGAATCATTGATTCTGAATTCTTCTCTGAAGATTCAATTCTGAAAGCAGCATTCAGCTCCCTATATACATTAACGAGATTCCCTGATTCATCTTGAGCAAAGATGTTCTATATATCTAAGGAATCTGCATTTCAATAGTTTAATCTTCTGCTAAAAGCATCTGCTTATCTATTTTCTAAGCTTTTGCAATATATACTTCTAAAATTAAACTATAAAAGAAATTCTGCTTATCTAATTTATTACTTGTTTAAAATTTTAATTATTATGAATATAATTAGATTTTTATAATTTAAGTGAACTATAATTAAGTACTATATGCTAATGAAATAATATTGCTATTTCTCGAAAGCTTTTACTATTGCTATAAGTTTCTAATTAGGAATTCCATAGTTGATTTCTGAGCTATTCAACTTTTTTGAAAAGTTGCTTACAATTCTTAAACGCTCTTAATTATCTTGCTAATTAAGCTGTTTCCCAAATGCATATTCTAATGCATTAGTTTCAATTTCAAAAGGCTTATAGGAATCTGCTTTATACAGAATTAGTTCTAAGGTGATATGCTTAATGATCTTCTTGAAAGCTTCTTGCATCTTGAAGATTCATTTGAAAAGCTGCTCCTTCTTAATGAGATTTGTAAGAGAATGTATAATTCAGCTATAGTTCTTAATGAACTGTTTGTAGAAGTTAATATATTTAAGAAAAGATCTAATATTTCTACTATTCTTAGGAATTAGCTAATTTCTAATAACTTCTATCTTATCTTTCTGTAGCTTAATGCATTCTAGCTTGATTATGAATTCAAGATAGTTGATTTTTTGTATATGAAAGTAATTCTTTGCGAGTTCTATAAGAAGTTTTGCATCTTAAAGCATTTGCAATACTGTTTTCATATATTCCTTGTATTTCTTTAGTATTTAAGAATAAATAAGAATATTATTGAGATATGCAATAATGAATTAATTCAAATACTTGTATAGAATATAATTAATCATTTCTTGAAATAAAGCTAAGATATTCATTAAACTGAAAAGCATAACTAAGTATTTGTAGTATTCATAGTATATTCTGAAAGCAGTCTTTCATTCTTCTTCTTTCTTTATTCTAATTAGATTATAAGCTTTTTTTAGATTCAGAGCTATAAACTACTATACTTCTTGCAATCTATCTTATAGTTTCTTAATAAGTAGCAATGAATATCAATTCTTAATTATAATATTATTAAGTTATTTATAATTAATATATAGCTTGAATTTGCTATTCTTCTTGAATATAAATAGAATAAGGTATTCTGCTAGTAATTGCAATGATTATATGTATTTCTTTTTAAGATTCTTATCAAGATATTCCTTAAGTGCTTCTAGTTATGCTTTATCTAGTCTGTAGATGAGGAAGAATTTGGATTATTTTCTTTCTTATAGCAGAATCTTGTAATTGTATGAGCTATATTCTGATAATTCTGTATTCAATTCTTCTTGAAATAATTTCTTGAATTTGTAATATTTCTGTAGTATGCTTGCGAGTATTGGTTCTAGTTCATATGCTGTTTCTGCTATCTAGAGGAACAGTAGGTACTGTTGAGCGTGCTTCTTTTCGTTCGTTTTTAATAGCGCTTTTGGTCGCGTTTTTGAAGGCTTTAAGCGTTCGCTCCGGGCTGAACTGACTGCTCGAGAGCCTGGTTTCGAGGTTTTTCTCGTGTGAGCTCACAATCCACATTCTGAAGCCTTTCCTTGTCGCTCCGGAGCGGATCGACTTGCTGAGAGTCTTGCTTCCGTTATTTTGCTAACCTGCTAACGCTCTAGCACTGTTTGAGTCCGCTTGTTACTAGGTTCTTCTCCTTGAACTGCTAGCTCTGCTGGTTTGAAAGTATATATAAAGTTGTTTGAAGCTTCTTTTCCCGAGTATTCTTCAATAACTAACTTTCATTCTGCATCATTAATTGCAACTATCTCTCTAGATACAGCTTGTTTCTATAAGATCTAGCCAGTAGTTCAATTGATTCGAGGATTGTGCTTCTTGAGCTATAGAAGCTCTATAATCAGCTTATACTGTACTGTATCCATGATATTAAAGGAAATCTTAGTTATATATTCTTGGATTAAGATAGATAAATGATTAGTCTTCTTATTGATTATTTCTTGATTGTATGCAACAGATTATTCTTTTATAATGCTGAGAGTATATAGCTGTTTCTTTCATTTCCATTGTAGTTATATCTGATTAATGATATATGGGAATATGAAGTTTCTCTGAGCGCTACTATTCAATAGTGCGCTATACTTGTATTCTTGAATATATATATTGAGTTTAATATAAGCATAGTCTGTTTTAAAAGCTTTATATAGAAACTATTCCGATCTGATTATCTGCAATCCTCTTACAAGCAATTCTAGCCTTTTGAGATTGTTAAGAGCTACTTATTCTCTCTTTGAGCTTGCTTTGCTGCTTCTTGAGCAAGCTTTTTAGCTTGTTTTTGCTTGTATTATTATTATTTCTAGTCTTCTTTCTGTTAATACTAGTTGCAAACCTTGTTATTAATGTAAATTATGCAAAGTATTATTCTGCATTGCTACTACTTTATTTCCTTATTCATGCATTGCTTAGAGCAGTTGTTTAGTAGTCCGATATATGCATTATTGTATTGCCTGTTCAGAATTTCCCTAAAGCGAAGTTCTTGCTTCTTAACAGCTTGAAGAATTTGTTCTAATTCTTTAACAGAAAACTATTCATATTGCATCTTTTCCGAGAAATGTGCTTTGCAGCTATGATAAGTATAGGAGATCTATGCTAGCTTGTAGTATAGATTATAAAGTGAGCTAATTCGAGGATTCTCGTTTTGTTATGCTTCAATGTTTTGCAAGGGGATATAGGTGAAGAGCTTCTCTAGCCTTATTCTATAGATGAGATATTCAACTTATGTTGTTTTCTTGTTTCATTCAATGCTGAAGGGAAACCTTTCTTTTCAAACTTTTATAGAGCTACTGGGTTTGCTGTTCACGAAAGGCTCTGGTGAATCACTAGGTTGTGTGCTCTGGTTTGATTCTTCTGTTGTTTGAGAAGTATTCTCAGTATTATTCAGATGCTTGTACCAATAGCTAAGGGAATACCATCCCTTATTCATATCTCTGATTATAGTGCTTAGCGTAGATGATGAGAAATGATAAAGAGTATTATTGCTAAGTTCTTTCTTTAGCGCTTGAATGCTTTGTTCAGTAATGTTGAAGTAGTTTGTAATGAGCACTGCAGCAATCCGAAGATTCCAAGGTACACAAGAGGTTTATGCTAACAAGAGCGGTGCCAAGTACAGGCCTTGAATATGGAAATATAACTGGGATAACTGTGCAAGTATTCACTGCCTTTGGAGCTATCAGAGTAGAAGAGTAATCTGATACTTAGATTAACAACTGAAGAGCTGTATACTGAACCTATCTAATGATAATGATTGTATGATTATATATTCGGCTTTTCAGTATAGCTCATCTTAGCTTACTACTGATCCAGATGATCCAGGCTTGCTGAATCATCTAATGATTCAGTGATTCATTCCTGCTATAACTCTAACTCTGAATTATATAATCAATGTTTTGTTAGAATGTTGAATTCTTAATATCTGATTCTTATTACTTGTAATCTGTTTCATAATCTGCATATTAGATAGATTATAATATCATCTCCCTTTTATTAGTTATTGTTCTCAACAATCTTCTGTAAGTATTTTAGCAAGTTTTCTGTATATCTGATTTTGCTTTTCTAATTGAGATGTTGAATAGAATTAACAAATCTTGTATTTCCAAGTTTCGTTTTCGAAAAACTAAGGAATGTGAAAGTTTTCTTTCCGCTATTCTTCAAAATTCCTTTACTATGCCTTTCTGTTCGTTTTGTAAGAATTGGAATATTTCTTTCTGCTAGATCTTTCTTTTTGATTCTTCTTGTTGTGCTGAATGCATTCGACTTAATCGTTCCCAATGCAATGTATAGGGCGTTAGTCTCTCGGAGTTGCATAAGATCGCTATTCAGCATCAAGAGC